TCCTTTTGCTCGTATGCCTTTCTTCTTTCATTCTTTAGATTACTTCTCGTTTTAACACACACGAACGTGTCTCTTCTTCAGTTTATGTTGTGTAGATTGTTATTGCCCATGTGGTTTTATTGCTCGAACAACCACATGATTTCCTCATTTGTTTCATATGGCCGAGTGGCTATTTCTTCTTGTAATTCACATGGTCATATGTCTCCTTAAGCTCCTTCGTGGCTTTGGCTTGGGTTTATTTGTTTCGATTCGTAATTTTTCCTACAAAATCCAAAATTGTTATCTTGATCTTAATTTTCTAAAATAATACAATAAATACTAAAAAGTTCAATTGAAAATAGCATAAAAGTTATGCAAATTATGCACTCATCAGAATATTACTTTTCATTAACAAATGCTTTATAGTTTAGATTGTTGTTTACTTGTTGTAAGCTAAAAAGTCATTTGAATTTTAAATTTGCATAAATACTTGCATATGCTTAATAAGAGAGAATGAGACAAGTTAGATTCAAACTTGTAACTATTTGATCAACAAAGTTTTGAAACCATAATAAAGAACTACATCAATTTAAAAGTTTAAACTACTAAGTGAGACTCTAAGAATAGTTTTTGACTAAAATATCTAACCATTCATGAACTTTAAGTTATTTAAGATTGAGTCTTTTAACTTTTCTATTGGTTTTAGGGATGTTTGAATTTTTTTTTTTAGATCTAGCCCATCCTTCAATTTTTTTGCCATTCATCTCAAAAAATAACAATCACATAAAGAGTTTCATGATAGAAATTATTTAATAAGATTTATGTGGAGCTCTAAACAATATTTGGGATTATTTCGGGTTATTTTCTATTTTGCTCGATCTTCTATATTTTTAATATTCAAAAATAAAAAAAATATATATTTTTTTTATTTTGAAAAATTATGGAAATTTTCTACAAAATAGACTGATTTTTTTTTCAATATGTATGCAAAATTTCAACTCAAAATATCAAGAATTGAATTTTTTTAGAGGAAAAGATGATAGTTGAAAATTATTAGATTGACTAAATTTTTTTTAAAAAAATTAAAAGTTGAAGGATCTCCAATAAAAAAAATTAAGAACTTAACCTAAGATGACTTAAGGTTCGGGAGTGATTAGACTTTTTTAACCATAGTTTTTTATATCATTTTTCAACACTCATTAGCGTGCATATGTGTGTGTGTGTAGTTACAACATCAATCACTCATTTGTTTGTTTTTTTCAATTTCTCTTAGAAATAATATATATATATATATATATGAGTGGGTTTATAACTATATATATAGTTACTAATACATTTATTATTTATATGTACTACAATTCACGTAAACTAATACTATAACTCTAAATTGCTTACTTTATTTTTTTTTACTATACATTTGACCATACATGTATTATCTTAATTATTAATTTTGATCACTTTTGTTTTTTTCAACCTCCTTTGAAAATTATGTGTATAAAATAAATAAAAGCATGTTTTAATTACAAATAAAGATGATCATGTGTGTATCTATATATACTATAATGAACAATACATACTATTTATTTCGATTAAGAGAAATAAATAGTATCTTAAATGAGATATCTAAAACATTTACGTCATGAAATGTTAGTTTGAAATATATGCAAAATTTCAACTCAAAATATCAATAATTGATTTTTTTAGAAGAAAAGATGATAGTTGAAAATTATTAGATTGATTAAATTTAAAAAAAAATTAAAAGTTTATGAATCTCCAAAAATAATAAAAAAATTAAGAACTTAACTCATATGACTTAAAGTTCGGGAATGATTAGACTTTTTTAACCATAGTTTTTTATATCATTTTTCAACACTCATTAGCATGCATATGTATGTGTGTGTAATTATAACATCAATCACTCGTTTCTTTGTTTTTTTTTTCAATTTCTCTTACAAAATGACACACACATACACACGTAAACTAATACTATAACTCTAATTGCTTACTTTTTTTTTTTAATATACATTTGACCATACATGTATTATCTTAATTACTAATTTTGATCACTTTTGTTTTTCTCAACCTCACTTGAAAATTATGCATACAAAATAAATAAAAGCATGTTTTAATTACATATAAAGATGGTCATATGTGTATCTATATATACTATAACGGACAATAAGTACTATTTATTTTCGATAAAGAGAAATAAATAGTATCTTAAACGAGATATCTAAAACACTTTTGTCATGAAATGTTAGTTTGAACTAATAAATGCTATGAAGTTTATATCTTTGGTTTACCATTGTAAGCCGAGGACCCACCAATAATGTACTTATTTTCAAATGTGATATATTCCAATGTGTTTTCATCTTTGATGTAAAAATAGAAATACATTAATTTTTCCCATTATAACTTGAAACACTAAAATATAATTCACAAAAAATGCTTAATTGAATTGAACTTCACGCAAATGCATGTCTTTCAAGTTTCATGCATGCTATTAGGATAACTTACTAGACCATAATTGCTTAAAATCTTTTCAATGTTTAAACCCCAAATATATATTTCCTCTCTTAAACAAAAATGAAACATTCACATAAAAGGGAGCCACAAAAGACTTACTTTAATATATCCTCGCCCCAAGTTTCTCCTCCACACAATCCAGCTCCCGTAATATACAAAATCTAAACTTAAAGTTTCGAGCTAACAAACCTAAGTCATGTGCTAAATAGCTAAACCACCTCTACATATCATGTTCGATTATGTGTATAAAAAAAAAAAGAGTAGTGCTACATGACACCGGTGGTGTAAAAAAAAAGTCACCATAATTTTATAAGGGTAGTGTTTCTTTGAAGGGACACAAGGGAGGGAAAAAAATTGGGTACTTTATTTTTGGAGGGAAAACAATATATAAAGCAATATATTTCGGACTAGTCCTTGTTTATCGTGTAAGGTTTCCAATTATGCTAATGATGAAAAGGAATTTAGAAAGACAATTACTTACAAATAATATTTAATGTTAAGAAATAACTATTGAAGAATATTCTAACATATGACAAGTTAGCTACAAAATATATCAATTTTAGCACACTCTGTTTCGACATGTCGAATTTACACCGATGGATAACCGACAATATTTAAAGCAATAAATTTAAGATAAATCCTTCATATTTTTATCTTGTGAGGTTTGAATTCCTAATTGACCAATGAATTACGGACAATACTTTCATGGTAAGACATAACGATCTTAGATATGCTAAGACATATCAATTGAACTAAAAAGTATATCGTTTTTAGCACACTATTTCAAGACACTATATTTACACAATATTTAAAGCAATAAATTTAAGATAAATCCTTCATATTTTTATCGTGTAAGGTTTGAATTCTCAATTAAGCAATGAATTACAAACAATATTTTCATGGTAAGACATACCGATTGAAGAGTATGCTAAGACGTATTAGTTAAACTAAGAGGCATATCGTTTTTAGCACACCCTTTCAAGCACATTAGATTTACACCGATGGATTTTCAAACTAGTCCTTCTTGTTTATCGTGTCGGGTTTACCCCTAAATATCGCATACGCTTTATTTCTAGTCATTTTTTAAGAAGGCTCCAACAACATAGATATTAGAAGAATGCTCCAACGATAGAGATAACAAAGGAAAAAAAACAAAGAGAAGGGAAGGGATGAACAACTATAACAAGTACTATTAATATACATCAAAGGAAAAAAGAGAGATGAGATGATATTGGTTGAGTTGGGTAGTCAAAAAAGTAAATAATCAATTATGCACGGTTAACAAAGCCATTAACGTAGATGTTATAAATAAATTATTGTTAAAATTTGAAATTCAAATTTTGCTCGTTCAAAATTACAAAACCCTAGTATGAAATTTTCGAGTGGGTATTATGTTATTTAACTTTTTCACTTTCCAAGTTTATTCTTAAAAGTTTTTTATTTTTGGAAATGGTGCCTGTCACTATGGCGTCGTTAAACATTTTCGAAGAAAAAATACAAAAGAGTTTCAACTAAATATATAAATGATTACTTATGAATTGCAGCATATGCAAATGGATGGTATAACTATTGCCTATCATTTTATGATACATGACTTTGTATGTGCTGTAACTTGATTGCTTGTTGTTTTCAAGTTACTTAAAAATCATGTGCAAAATAAGTGCAACTGGTGTACATGTGATCATAAATATTCGATCTCCAAGCACTATAATGTATAATAAACACAATTTGTTATAGTAAAGATTAAGGAGTATCTTATATGAGAGATTTAAAACATATCCAACATGAAATACTACTTTTCAATAACAAATACTTTGTAATTTAGCTATAAGCTAAAGGGCTTATAGCAACACAATTCTTTTTAAATTCAATCTATTTCGACGTGAGTTGTCTTAGGTATAAATACATAAATAGAATTAAATTTATTTATTTTTTAAAAAATATTATTAAAGAATTTATAAAAAACGATACGTCAAATTAAAATTCACGTAAACGCATACTTTTCAAAATTTCAGTTGCCATTATAATAACTTAATATGCCCAAACAATTTTAATCTTTGAGAATTGAACTCTCAAATTTATCATTTCCACTCCTAAACCTTACCATGTCTATGAACATATCTCTGACCTAAGTTTTCCATACAGGTAACCCAACTCCCTTCATGCACAAAATCTTAACCTAAGGTTCGAGCCAACAAACCTAACCCTCGAGTCGAGGGCTAGCCAGCCTCCACATAGGCGGGAAATCACGATTCCCCGATAAAAGGCGGGAGATTCCATTTCACCCCAAAAACAACAAAAACCTTAAAACCGGAAATAAATAAAATAATGAAAAAACCTAGATAAATAAATACCCCTAAAGTTCCAAACCTGCTCTTTCATTTTGCTGCTTTCAGAAAGTCGCTTCCAAAAATCCAAACACACTCTCTCCAAGGGAAGGGAAAAAAAAAAATTGGAAACCCTCGATCTGTGTGAAAAGGAAAAACAAATTTCAGATGGCGAGACCCTCGAAGCAGCAAACATCGTCCGATGAGGCGATGTCGTCGGAGGAAGAGCCAATGAACGAGCAGATCAACGAAGAGGAAGACGAAGAGGAACTCGAGGCGGTGGCTCGCTCAGCTGACTCCGATGACGATGAAGCCGCCGGATATACTGAAGGAGACGACGGTGAAGGCGATGAGCCTGACGAGGTAACTTTAGCGTCTTTCCATTGGGAATGTTTGAAAGTTTGTTCTTTGTTTGGATCTAGTTAGGGTTTTGCTGTTTCGGGGTGTTTTATTGGTTCGGTTAGGGTTGGTTTAACATTGCTTTGTTACTGAGAATTTTGTAGAGTAAATAGAGATGGCTTGTTTTTTTGTTGTTTTTTTTCCAGGGGTGAGACTAACAAAATTAGTTAAATTAAGTTCAAAGAGGTGGAGGTGATGCGATGCGGCTTTTGAACGAATAAGTGATTTTGCGTTGATGTTGTTATAACGGAGTGTTTGATGGGTTGCGGGAAAAATTGAAGAAAAGAAAGTGAGTAGGAGAGTTGATACTTTTGGTTTTTCATTCTGGGGGATATTTATTTATTTTTTTAAACTAAATTAAGATACTTACACCAAGGGCCTTTTTTGGAAGGATACCTAGATTTGATGATAGCCGTTTTGCTATTGATTATTCTGAAGTCGTTGTTAACAGTATTGGTTTGTTTTTGCAATTCTTCTGTGGGTGTTTTGGTATATATTTCAATATCACCTGTACTTTTGAATTGAGTTTGATGGTTTGTTTGCTTATTTTTTGAATTTTTTTTGTCCACAATTTGGACTGTAGGAAGGAACCAGCAATGAAATTAGCAAGCGTGAAAGGGAAAGGCTAAAAGAAATGCAGAAATTGAAGAAACAAAAGATTCAGGAGATATTGGATCAACAAAATGCTGCTATAGATTCTGATATAGTATGTTTGTTTTACAAGACTAGTTAATGCATATGTGTTGTTTTTAGTATATGAAAATGTCGGGTGGGTATATTGAAGTAGTTTAATTGCAGAATAACAAGGGGAAGGGACGCTTGAAGTATTTGCTGCAGCAAACTGAGTTGTTTGCTCACTTTGCTAAACATGATCAATCAGCATCTCTGAAGAAGGTTAAGGGGAGGTATAACTGTTATTTGTTCGAAGATCCCTTCTCAAAATATTCTTTAACTGCTGTTGCTTGATTCAGTACTTTTTTTTTATATATATTTTACTTGTGCTGGCATTTCCTCTAATAATCTAGTTTATGTTGTCAATTACTTGTTGAAAACTTTTCCCTGTTTGAGGACCAAGTATCAACTATGCATTACTCAACTAGCTGTGTTTTAATAATATTCATGATTTATTTCATAGATTTAATAGGAAAAAGAACTTTGTGAAAATCATAGTACGCTAGGATTTGGATGTCAGGCCAAGTAGCACTGGAATGTTGTTGGATGGGCTGCATGTGCATATTCTTATCAAGCTAGTTTTTTCATTAATAAGATTCATGATTTATTTCAGAGATTTTTCATTAATTGTCTAGCTAGTTTACTGTGATACATGAGTTTAATAATTGGATTCTTATCAATCTGGGCAAATACTGGTCTTGCATTGCATCTAACTGCTGTATACTTTGGTTTCGTAATTTACTTTAGGGGTCGACATGCCTCCAAAGTAACTGAAGAGGAGGAAGATGAAGAGTGCCTGAAGGAGGAGGAAGAAGATGGTTTATCAGGAAATACGCGGCTGGTGACACAACCATCTTGTAAGGGATCTTATATATGTATTCTTCTGTTGCATGCATGCACATGCCTCTCCCTGACTGACTGTTAGATTAAGTTTAGAATTGTAAATTTGCAAGCTATCAATTTTGGTCTAAATATGTTCTCTGTGCTGTTTGCATACATATGCATTTTGACATATTAAGCATCAATACATTTTAGTTATGATTACTTATATTTATATATTTATACTGTTCTTCTACTGTCATCGTTTGTTAGCTGGCTCATTGATATTTCTTTCTTATTTGATCATTCGCTAAGTGAACCAGCTGATCCACATTTATGGCTCTGGGATTTGTACATATAACCCCACCGTCCATTCTTAATTCAACGTGTAACCAAATTAATGCTAGCTGAAGAGTAGCATGCATCAATTGTCTGGCTAGTTACTTATCTCATTACACTGAAATATTTTCATTTGATGTGATTGTTGTGGTGGTAGCTAGATCTTGGAGGCTAAGATTTATTTTTGTTCTTTTCTGCAGGTATTCAGGGGAAGATGAGGGATTACCAACTTGCTGGATTGAACTGGCTTATAAGACTGTATGAGAATGGTATAAACGGAATCCTTGCAGATGAAATGGTATGCACAAAACAAGACATGGTCTTGGCATTATCCTAATTTAGAAGTGCTTTTGTTTTATTTTCTAGAGGCTTTAGCGATTCTGTATTATAGTTTTGTGTGCTATTAATACCATCTTCATTTTGCAATCCAGGGTCTTGGAAAAACCTTACAGACAATCTCTTTGTTGGGGTACCTGCATGAATTTAGAGGAATCAATGGTCCTCATATGGTAGTTGCTCCAAAATCTACACTTGGTAACTGGATGAATGAAATTCGTCGTTTTTGTCCAGTTTTACGTGCTGTCAAGTTTCTTGGCAATCCTGATGAAAGAGTAAGTTGCTTTAAGTATGGTTTAGTAATATTTTTTGCTGTCTATGCTTTTTTCATAAAAAACTTTCTCAATGCATTAGTGGAAAATTCCTTACTGTATGTGGTCTTGTTTATATTGTGTCTTTTCCCAGAAACATATACGTGAGGATTTACTGGTTGCTGGGAAATTTGATGTCTGTGTTACAAGTTTTGAAATGGCCATCAAAGAGAAATCTACCTTGCGCCGCTTCAGTTGGCGGTATATCATTATTGATGAAGCTCATCGGATTAAGAATGAAAATTCTCTCCTTTCAAAAACAATGAGACTTTATAACACCAATTACCGCCTCCTCATTACTGGAACTCCACTTCAGGTATATTTTTGAATAACTGAATCTTTAATGACATTGAAAGCTGTCAGAGTTAGGATGCATGGGTACGTGTAGAAAACTGATCTGTATATGAAATTCTAGTACTTTTGATGCTGAAAATAGGTTGGCTGTGATGCTTATTGTAGATTTGTTTTACTTCATTAAGATTGATAAAATGTTGGGTGGCCTTGAGACTGCACTGAAGTTTGGTGTTTGTTTGTGGTATCTTCTGGTTGCAATTAAATTAAAAATTCTGCATTGTTCCTTGTATATGAATATATTGTTTTCTTATATTTTTTATGTGCAGAACAATCTTCATGAACTCTGGGCTCTTCTGAACTTTCTTCTTCCTGAGATTTTTAGCTCAGCTGAAACTTTTGATGAATGGTTTCAAATTTCTGGTGACAATGACCAGCAGGAAGTTGTTCAACAACTGCACAAGGTAAGACATTACCTTCTTAGTGTTGAGCCTGAAAGGCACTCAAATTTCTAGTAAAAATATTTGGATTCTATTTATTTTGCTACAATGAGGTGTCATCTGATATGTTGATTCCATGGATTCTGCATTTCTAAGGTCCTTCGGCCATTTCTTCTCCGAAGATTGAAATCAGATGTTGAGAAGGGTTTGCCTCCGAAGAAGGAAACCATACTGAAGGTTGGCATGTCCCAGATGCAGAAACAGTACTACAAGGCTTTACTACAGAAAGATCTTGAAGTTGTTAATGCTGGTGGAGAACGTAAGCGTCTTTTGAACATAGCAATGCAGCTCCGTAAATGCTGTAATCATCCATATCTTTTCCAGGGTGCTGAGCCTGGTCCACCTTACACTACTGGAGATCATCTTGTTACCAATGCTGGTAAGCTTCAACTTCTGGTGGATATGGAGTTTATTGATGTTTTTGTGCTCTTAAGTTTGTAGCAGAAATCAGTCTTTATGCTATTATCTTTTTCCAGGTAAGATGGTTTTGTTGGATAAGTTGCTTCCTAAGCTGAAAGAGAGGGATTCCAGGGTCTTAATTTTTTCTCAGGTGAGTTGTTCATAGCCATGGTTGGCTGAATAGATAAGATTGTTAATCTGTGTACCCTTGCATTTGAAATATCCCTCTGTAGTTTTTAGGTTTTATGTTACAGTTCCATTACTTTATTGCTGATCTTGTGGTTGGTTTTACCTTTAATGCCAGATGACAAGGTTGCTTGACATTCTTGAAGATTATTTAATGTTTCGTGGGTATCTGTATTGTCGGATTGATGGTAATACCGGTGGAGAAGATCGCGATGCTTCCATTGATGCCTTTAACAGGCCAGGAAGCGAGAAATTTTGCTTCTTGTTGTCAACAAGAGCTGGAGGATTGGGTATTAATCTTGCTACTGCAGATGTCGTCATTCTTTATGACAGTGACTGGTGAGGCTTTTGCTCTCTCTTTCTCATTCTTTCTGCTGCCTTTTTTTTCCTTTGGGCTGTTGATGCTAGGGTTCTTATTGTAGGAACCCACAAGTTGATTTGCAAGCTCAGGACCGTGCTCATAGGATTGGTCAAAAGAAAGAAGTTCAAGTGTTCCGATTTTGCACAGAGGTATGCATTTTTTCTTTGATGTGCTTAAGGTAGATGCTAAGCTGTGTTAATTTTATATCTCGTTATGTTTGATTGTGAAACAGTATACGATTGAGGAAAAAGTGATTGAGAGAGCATATAAGAAGCTTGCACTTGATGCTTTAGTGATCCAACAAGGAAGATTAGCCGAGCAGAAAAGTAAGTTGCATTTGCATTTTGAGTACTTACAGTATTGGTGGCCAACATTTTGCATGTGCGACATTTTGATTTCTTTTTCTTTCATACAGCTGTTAATAAAGATGAGCTGCTTCAAATGGTGAGGTTTGGGGCCGAAATGGTTTTCAGCTCGAAGGATAGCACTATTACAGATGAGGACATTGACAGAATCATTGCTAAGGGAGAAGAGGCAACAGCTGAGCTTGATGCCAAGATGAAGAAATTTACTGAAGATGCAATCAAGTTTAAAGTGGATGACAGTATGTGAATCCACAGATTGAATTTTTTTGACTGTTTCTGTATTTATTTGTTTGATTGGATTGCTAGTTTACATGTAATGCCGCTGATGTTTTTCTCTGATTTCTGGCAGCTGCTGAATTATATGATTTTGACGATGATAAAGTAGGTGCATTTCTTCCATTTTTCTTATGCATTGGAGGATATTCTGTTTGATCTCAATTTTATTAGTGTTACTTCGAGGCTTGTTTTTCATTACCTTATGTTCTTAGTGCTTGTATTTTGTTTTTTATTGATGAAGGATGAGAACAAGTTCGACTTCAAGAAAATTGTCAGTGAGAACTGGATCGAACCTCCAAAGAGGGAGCGAAAGCGCAAGTAATGGTCCTCTTTGCCTTCTTCCTTTAACTTTTGAGTTCTGAGTATATCGGTTCAGCATTATACAACAACTTTTTCTTCTTTGTAATCTGTCTTTCAACCAGTTACTCGGAATCTGAATACTTCAAGCAAACAATGCGCCAAGGTGGTCCAGCAAAACCTAAAGAACCTCGAATTCCTCGCATGCCTCAATTGTAAGTGCTTCTGAAACTTGTAACTTTCTCTCTGGAATGGTTTTGAATTCTGAGATGCTGTGCTTGAATGTTCTTGTCTGCTGTTTTCAGGCACGATTTCCAGTTTTTTAACACACAGAGGCTTAGTGAGTTGTATGAAAAGGAAGTGCGCTACCTCATGGTGGGTGCTGTAATTGATCTCACAAGTTTTAATCTCTGCCTTTTTCATTGTTTAGTTGTGTTTTCAGAGGTTTATGTGCATCTTACTTATTTGGTTGCTTATTACAAAATTTCAGCAAGCACATCAAAAGAATCAACTAAAAGATACAATTGATGTTGATGAACCTGAAGGTACTTTATCTCAGTTGCTCCCATTTTTTTTACACACTTCGCCTTTTATATCATTTTACTAACACTTTACTGATTATTGTATATTTAGAGACTGGAGATCCATTGACTGCTGAGGAACTGGAAGAGAAAGAACGTCTTTTGGAAGAGGTGAATGCAATGTTTAAATGTTTTATCAGATAATGATGGGTCTCTTTACTTACACTTTGTCATGTAATTTCAGGGATTTTCCTCATGGAGTAGAAGAGACTTCAATACCTTCATTAGAGCTTGTGAGAAATATGGTCGAAATGACATCAAAAGTATTGCCACTGAAATCGAAGGGAAAACAGTGGAGGAAGTTGAAAGATATGCTAAAGTTTTCAAGGAGCGATACAAAGAGTTAAATGGTAAGTGATGCCTATTTTTTTTTCTAAATTTTATTTTTTGGTTGAATGATTTTAATTAGTGGCTGTGGATGAGGTTTTCCTGGATCTTGATACCTGCTAAAGCGGGGTCATATGATATGTATTGCTAGGTGCAAGCCCTCTGGTAACCGAACTGGCTCCAACATGCTATGCATGCAAAACGAAGTATCTGGAAATTGCTCATTTGGTTGTGTTAAACCTATTTGTTGGAAGTTTCTCATTTTTTTTGTCCACATGTACTGCTTGTCTGGTCCTTGTCACTTCTGAGTGAAAAGTTGTTGAAACATGCTTGATTGTCAATGGTGGTTGCAGATGGGTCTGGTTAAGCTTATTTATCATTTGATTTTTGTTTTGTTTATTGGATCTTCAAAAAAATGTAACCATCTTTCATTTTCTCTTCAATTGTGGCATGCATACAGATTATGATAGGATCATTAAGAACATTGAAAGGGGGAGGCCAGAATTTCTCGTAAAGATGAAATCATGAAAGCAATTGGGAAGAAATTGGATCGCTACAAGAATCCTTGGCTTGAATTGAAGATCCAGTATGGTCAGAACAAAGGGAAGTTGTACAATGAAGAATGCGATCGTTTCATGGTGTGATTTTTTTTCTCTTTTATATTAGTGTCATACAACTGCCTGTTCATTTTCTTGAATGTTGAACATCTAATGATGTTAAATGGCCTTTTTGCAACTCATAGGTATGCATGGTTCACAAGCTTGGATATGGGAACTGGGATGAGCTGAAAGCAGCATTCCGTACATCACCTTTGTTTCGTTTCGATTGGTTTGTAAAGTCTCGGACAACTCAAGAACTTGCAAGGAGATGTGATACCTTAATTCGGTTGGTGGAGAAGGAAAACCAAGAATATGATGAGAGGGAGAGACAGGCTCGTAAAGAAAAGAAGCTTGCCAAGGTTCTATTTATGATCCTCATTAGCCAACCTTAGCCACCAATACCACATGCATGGGCGATTATTGTCTTGCTTTATAAACATGTCATGTTGGATTGCACGATTTATGAGGTTGGGTCATCTTCATTCATGCTGACAAAACTTTTTTATGATTTCCATCATATACAGCAGAGCATGACCCCGTCCAAACGTTCCATGGGAAGACAGACTGAGAGCCCTCCTTCCCTAAAGAAACGGAAGCAGTTATCAATGGATGATTACATGACCACGGCAAGTTTCAATCCACAATTATTCTTCTTTTTCCTTTTGAGAGGAGCTTTGTGGATGAGAAGGCTAATTGTAGCTGTTTTTTTTTCTTCTTTTTTTTTTTTTTTTTTTTTTGCCTTTACAGGGAAAAAGGAAGAAGTAATTCAAGTGTATTATAGGATTTTTGAGGGGGTACAAATTCTAGAAGTATCATGGTGAGTTCCCTTATTTTTGTTAATTAGTCAGCCCGTGGTCTTGCTTGTGGAGAAGGCCAATGTTAGATTATTAAGATTTTGAGATGTATAAATATATGCCATATTTAATTTATTGCAGTGGATGTCAGGAAGTTCTCTAATGAAAATTTGTTGTGGACAGTTTAGATTTCCCTTGCGAAAGATGGATCTGCTTTTAGAGAAGTTCGATGTGCTGATCAAAAGGTTTATCTGCTAATCAGGACAGTTGCAAGAACCTACGGTGGTGGTGCTTCTTATTTTATTTTTAGGAGAAATTGATAGAACAAAGAGCAGTCTTCATCAATACACAATCATCCAGATTTGACTAGCATATAAGTTCCCAAATGCCCAGGGATCCTGAACCCTTAGCTGGAAGTAAAACCTGTTTTCGCCATATATAAAATGTGTCTTTAGCAAAGACAGTATATTTAAATGTCGGGTGCATGTGTAAGAACGTCTCTCATTCTACCGTAGTTTTAAAATGGCGACTTTTGCTAATTGTTTTAGGTACGAAATTTTATTTTACGGGTCTAGGTTTACCTGCCGTTCTGCTAGTTGAATGAAAACATGTTTAACAGTTACAGGTGTCAGATTTAAGATTACAGCATCTAGAACAAAAAGGAAGAGAGCAAGGGGTAAAAAAAGCCCAGAAATTGTTCATATCTTGTCATAGAAGAGATTAAATGAAGACAACTGTGGCAGTAATCTGCCCAGCCATCAGAAAGCCTTCTAGAACAGTTTTTGCATAGTCTGTCATAGCAATGCCATTGTCTACTTTCTCAACATCTATAGACCACTTCTTAATGTCACTGACATTGTCGAGCAATATCTAGCAAGTCTTTTCTTTTACGTACCAGATAATCTACTCCAGAACTCTGAAGTCAATTTTCATTGAAGAAGAGGACAGCTACTTCAAAATTCAAGTGGACTTGAAATCATCGTGGATGAATTCTTCTTTTAAATCCAGAGGAACAGAACTGATTTCTTCCTTGGAGTTTCAAAGCATGAGAAATTAAATAGTGGAAGGAGATGTGTCATCATCTTCCAGCTGAACTTGTTGACGTGTAATTAACACTAGGGATTTTGAAAAAAACCTTAAGAGCCATGATTAAGCCTTTGCCAAGTTAAAAAAGGAATGGAGAGAAAGCTGGGCTGGGGTTTTGGTTTTATATAGAAAGACTCGTCTTTCAATGCTTTATACATATACTAATGAGTTTTGGGCATACTGATATGTGTCGGACTAGCTCAATGGAAAATGAAGCTCTCCTGGTGTTAGACGGCCTTGCTATTCTATATCCGTTTTGGTAACGGTTTAAAAAGGCAGTAGTATCAAATAAAAGGGAGGAAGTTGAAGCTTAATTCAATGGGCCAGGACTGCTATTGCTCAACCCAAATGTGGTCCGACATCTTCCTTTCAAAGTTTAGCTCACCTTATCTAGCCGAACAGATAATGCAACTTTATCTTCTGACAGCCCACCCAAAGATTTGAGAAAGGTAAACACCGTAAGTATTTCTTGGAGTGGCCAAGAGAGGCAACTTACAAATTAAACTCGTTATGCTGCGAATATTATATTTAAGCAGAAAATGCTAGTTTATAACAGTTCTCGGATTATAAATATAAAACAAGTAGATTTTGAGATCAGCTATGACGATAACAGTTAAAAATAATTGTCATATTTTTTATAATTTTTTTTATATTATATAACATATCAATAATTATCTTAATGTCTTTGTATAATATCTTAAGTCTTTTATATTTTTTTAGATTTTTAATTACATTTTATCTATTCTTGACATTTTTTAAAATGATCAATCTGTTTTTAATCAATTTTTCAGTTATGAATAATTTTTTTCATTGAAATATCCTTTATTGGAATGCAAAAAAAAAAAAAAAAAAAAAAAAAAAAAAAATAGATGTGACTGATGGATGGCTGGATGAATGATAATATATATAATGAACCATACAGTGAAGAAGAGTATTTGATTGAGATAAATATTTAAATTTTTAAAAATTATGCTGAAGTGGTTGAAATTGAAAATACATATGATCAAATTGATAAGAAAAAAGGTTTTTTTTTTTCATGAATCGGTGAAAATACATGGTACAAATAATCGATTTAACCAGTTTTTATTGTCAAAAACACCATAAAAACACGTCCCAAAATTGGTAGAAATCAACTCTTATATGCCTATACCTCCCAAAATGGAATTTCCTAGTTTCAAAGGGGATCGTGTTAGTTGTATCAGTATTTCGAAGTGGCTGGGGGTGGCAGAAGCTCTTAAGAATAAGCTAGCATCGTTTTAAATGAAGGATAAAGCTATTCGATGGCATCAAGCTTTCATGGAAACTAAAAGTAACAGCCTTACGTTTCTTGGGCTGATTATGATTTGGGAGAATGGCAAACAAATAACCTCTAGCCAATTTAATTAACTTACCCAATATGGAGATTTTTATGAGCATTTGGAAAGTTTTGATGATATGAGAAAGATGGTACGTATCATAGAATTCTTTATTGAAGGACTGAGCCCTGAATTGCAGTATGCCGTTGTATAGGAAAACCCCAAAGATCTCAATGACGCTATAGAAGATGCAGAATATGAGTATTTTTTTGAAAAAACCAACCATACCCCTATTCTTCATACATCACCACCAAAGCCTTTACCTTGTTCTTGCTCCCTAAGCATCACACATCATAATCAGACCTCAAAAAACCTTCCCAACATATCATCACCACTTTATAAAAATCTAAACCGTTCCTCCAAAACCAAAAACCACTTACCACTCACTAGAAATTATCACAAGAGGACCTAGATGGAAGGTCTTAGAAAAAGAGAGAGGTCAATGTTACTGGTGTAACCACAAATTTTGATAAGAGTGGACCATTATCAAACTATATATGAAGAAGCTCTATGACAGAGTGGGTTCCAAGAGCTTGTATATTCTGATTGACACTGGAGGCACTCACAACTTAATGCGTGAAGGGGTTGCTAAGAGGTTAAATTCTTGTTTAACTCGATCCACTGGATCCAATAGCTGTTAAAACACCAGAGGGGAAGGATTTGAGCTTCTGAAGCAGAGGGAATTTGATGCAGGGAAAGAACATGAGCAAAGAGAATGGCTTTGTGCACAACGCAACAATATGGTTTAGAAGAGTAGAGTCCAGGTATTTCCTACTCATAGTCCAGTACATGTAATATATTGTTAGTCACTACATATCAGATAATATGGTTGCCAGTCTGGACCTAACTCAATAAAGAAAAAAGTTTAAACATATTTAGCTGTAGAGAACAGTTTTTCATTTTATATATATTCACTTCCTTTTTTTCATTTTTATTTTATGTAGAGAATGCATAAAATGTATTCATTTGGTACATGCGAAAAACTCTCTGTTTTTAAAATTGAAAAACATGTTAATTTTTTTCTAAATAATTTTCTAAGTCGTTACTTATAATTAGTTTTTTATTTAACCTTTTTTTTTCATATTTTTTATAATTTGGATGAAAAATTTTACTCATAGTAATTAAATTTAGTATCTTTCCATGTAATTTATTACATGGAATAAGTAAGTGATATTGTTCATAATATTATAATCAGGTCTTTAATAATATAAAAAAATATCAGATGAAATCATAGCAAAGAGACTGGTAGTTTATTTAATGACTTACGGATGTCTCTTAAAAATCCTAGAAAAAAGGGTGATGAAACTCTTGTACTCATAGAAACTATACATACAGGATATGTTTAAAAAATTATACAAATAACAAAGGATTTTTACGTGAAAAGAGATGAAAAAGTGTGTTTTAATTATTTAGTAAATATGTAAAAAAATTTAATGAAAGGAACTTGAAAAATGTGAAAAAGAATTTTTTCAAAACTAAATTAAAAAAATCCTATTTTTTTTGTAAGATATTTTTCTATAAAATAAAGTTATTCTCTCAATTTTTTTGTTCCTCCTTTTTCACCTTATCCAAACACAATAAAAGTAAATACTTTTCCACACTCACTTTCATTCCTTCCGTTTTCTCTCACTTCTTTTGTTCCCTAACGCAGCGGTGTCAGAAAAAAAAAAAAAAAAAAAACATGATAGGCTGGTAGCAATGGAAAGGGGGAAAGTGGGGATAAGATTCCGAGAGAAATAAAAATATACAAGCAATAACTGTCTTTTTTGGAAGAAGGGGAGAATTGATGGAAAATTAGGCCTACCATGGATCGACTTCTCCATATTGGAAAGAAAATAAAGGAAAAACAAGTTAAAAAATGTATTTAAAAAATTTTATTTCTCGACTTGAAAATCAAGTTGTTACCTCACAGCTGACGTTTGATACAAGGTTAAAAAAATAAAAGTGAATTATTATGAAAGTAATTATTTCAACAACAATTTTTAAGAATGTAAAATTAGTTTTTAAAGATGTTTGGTATATTTTTATAAATTAAAAGGTTAAATATTAGTGGAAAAAAGAGAAAAATAATTGAATTATTAGCAACGATTGGTTGGAGAATAAAAATTAATTTATTTTGTATTTTTAGAACAAAATAAAAAGAGAGATGAAAAAAAGAGAGTTTACAAGAGTAAAATTGAACCATCTTTAACCCTTTACAAAACACCTCCATAGTTAAAATTTAACAAGATATTTCCTCCTAAATTCCTCTCTTTTAATTTTCTTTCTTTCTGCCTTAATTCCCATTACGAAATCTGAGTGAGGATACATGATCCTATGTAATCCTTGCAATACCGACACCCTATTCAATTTATGTAATAGATAATTTAATGGCCTGTTTAGCTGTATATA